TAATCATCTGATTCGTCTGTACATTGCTGTTTTAGTCTGTGTTCTTCTAATTAGTGTCTACAGTGTGTGCCTATTGAGCTGTTTAGAGCCATGTGGGACCCCTCCCTCTCACTGTCTAAGTGAACGGTGACTGTAAAAACTACACTGCGCATGCTCAGAGTATTGTCCTATTTAATGTGTGTTGCAAAAAAATAATGACCATAGGGGCAGAGCCCTGCTATCCCCACCATACGTCATCTCACATAATTCAGAGCTGATTGGCTGTAAGTACGTGTGCCGCGAAAAGTGTGGTGTATGAAGAGGAGACGAGAGACGCGTCCTAAAACCCAGAAGTAAGCTGCGCATGGGTTCCCTCCACAAATAGCAATGAGATTTCTCCATAGGATTTTAGAAAATAGCTCAAAATAAGATCTGTGGGAAACGTACGTGTTAGATAAATGCACATTTTGTTCACCCGGATAATATCCACATGTCTACCCTACTTTTATAATTTTCGAATCATAAATCTATTGATTAGATTTATGATAGACTTTTGAAACTACAAGAAGATAAGGAGGACTTTTAGAAACAAGTAATAGAGATTTTTGTCCAGAAGGATAGGCAAATGGACTTCATCTTAAAGTCAAGGTAAGACCGCAATTTTATTGAAAATGGGATCTTACGAAGAGAGAACAATTCAATATTTAAATGATAAAATTACATTTTTTGGGTATCCTTTTGTTGAACTGTCTGTTTAAAATTAATCGAAGCATCAAACAAAAAAAGCTTTTGAAAATAATATTATATTTTGATTTAGGTCAAAATATTATATTTGTAAACCTGAAGAGTCAGTGCCAGTGCCTCACCAGCCATGAACCTCACTGCAGAAGCTTATATATAGACATCTAAGTTTTCTGTGCCCCACCACTTTTGTACATATAGAAACGCCACTGCTTATAGAACGTACACCCCTCAAGATTAACATAGTTCTACATGATGGATTCATGTTTCGACGAGAAACATGAATAAATTATGTTATATGAAATGCATTTGCAAATTGAACAACCCCACTTTCCCCTTTTTTTCAGTGTACCTTGACTATATCGGTTTTCCACCCTGATTTTGATTAGATTTCTTGTGGCCTTTTTAATAAGTCATCAGTCTAAAACGGCTTCCACCACTAAATTCAGCATTTAAATTCCACAAATATGGCTACACTCTAATCTAACTATATGTTAGATTAACAATGGATCAATGTGTAAAATTAGACCTGTTATGAACTCAAAAAATATATATCTTTACAGCTCCCTTTTCCTCTACAGAGACACGGTTTGCTTCCGATTCAAGTTTAATGTTAATTGTGGCCCAAACAGAAATCACAAATAGTAAACCAGAAAGAAGTTATTGAATAGAACATGAAAGGTCCTTTTCAAAATGGATTCCTAAATCTAGAAATATATTCATCATTCAAAGACACACTAACAACACTGAATTCATTTACTTTACAAACTTTATCCGTTTCTTTGTAGCATTATGTTTGTATCATTTATTGATGAATTCATACATTGAATTACAATTTTTCCTGATGTAGTCCTCGGGCAGCGACTCCAACTAGATGAAGATGCAAGAAGAAACAGCTGGAAACCTTCATCCTGCTACCTGAAGCTCTGGCCCCCAATCCCAGGGTCTGCAGGGCTTCATGGGGTCGCAAGGCATTTTACATTTTAAGATTTGTAACATAACTAATAAAAAAACTGAAGAATGTGCCTATGTCTCAGAGTTTAATCCTTTTAGTATTTCTTACCTGCCTCTTAACTCTACATTTCATTTGACGTCATGGTTTCGTATTACAGTGTGTTATCTTTCACTGTGCATTCATATTACCTTTATGTACCCAAGGAGTGTTGAGCGACTTTTGTTTGGCATTGACTTTACTAATAGCTTCACACTGTTACATTCACATGAACCTAGATGTAATCACCTGCTCATTCATACCATTTTTTGTCTCTTAATAATGCCATTTCATCTTTGACACATAGATAAGTCCGATAAGTGTACTAACGAGGGATTAATACAATATTAATTGATGTTATATTTCTTTCTGCCTGTTTAAAGTCATCTATATGATTGTCGAGAAGGGATATGTGCAGAAACACGCTTATATTAACACAATCTCAAAATTAAAATGTATTTCAATATTTCAAGTGATATGAGATTGCAAAGGTTCAAATATCTCTTACTAGTGGACTAAAAGATTATTTGTAAACCTGATTTTTTCTTGCAAGTTCAAATCGTTGTTTGTTTGGGTGTGGGAATCCATATCTCAGACTGCACATGGTTCCTATTGGCTGTATGTTAAAGATTACACAATCACACCCATTTAGCTCACAAAGCAGAAATGTCCTGATGGATGTTCTGGCTCTGCCCCCTGTGAGGTGGCCTGCAGATAAAAAGGAGGTGGAGGCGGTGTGATCTGCTCTCCTGCACACAGTAAGTTCACCTCCGATACTCAGCTGAGGATTCTCTGTAAGGTTCTGAAATACAGAATGATTGTATATATGTGTGTTACCTAAATTAACTGTGCTTTTGTTTTCTGTTTTGCTTTAGGAATCTTTATCTGAGGTTTCAGAATGTACGGAAACAACCAAGGTAAGTATCAAAATCACTATCTATAAAAAAAATATGGATTACAGACCTGATGTTTAGTTTTGCTAAGTCCTCCTCCTTGTGTTTAGGAAACCATTACCCTCCTGGTTACCTGAACCATCCTCAGCAGATGCCGGGGGGGTACCCTCATCCTCGGGGCTCTGTCCCATCACAAAACTACCCCCCTCAACACGGAGGCCCACACGGACCAGGACCGGGTTATGGGCCAGGACCGGGTTATGGTCAGGGAACTGGAGCTGGTTCTGGACCTGGTTTTGGTCAAGGCCAAGGACAGGGCCATGGCCACGGACACGGACATGGACACGAACATGGACACGAACATGGGCATGGACATGGGCATGGGCATGGACATGGACCATGTCATGGAGAGGGCCATGGCCATAAACACAAGCATGGTCACAAGCATGGCAAGTGCCACAAGAAAGGAAAGAACTGTCACGGGGTAAGATTCAAACATTATAGTGGTAGTGGTGGTCTATTGGATAGTGAGGTGGGCTGAAGATCGGAAGGTTGTGAGTTCAAATCCCGCCAGGAACACCACCACTAGTGTGCCCTTGAGTAAGGCACTTAGTCCTTAGTTACTCCAGGGAGAATGTCCCTGTAATTGGTAATTGTAAGTCGCTTTGGATAAAAGCGTCAGCTAAAGGAAATGTA